AATTTGCATCGCGGTTCACCTTTCGGTAAAAACGAATCTGACTGTTCTCCGGACAATTTCAATCAGTCTAATCTCGAAATCTCTACGATTTCATTTTCCAGAAATGGCTATAGCGGCTGTTCGGAAAATATTCTCGCATTCCCTCGGTAAAAATTTGCATCGCGGTTCACCTTTCGGTAAAAACGAATCTGACTGTTCTCAGTCTAATCTCGAAATCTCTACGATTTCATTTTCCAGAACGATGTTCCTATCTGTACCAGTATACAGTAATGTTTCTCTAATTGACGCTCGGATTGTCCACACAGATTGTCCCAGAAATGGGCAATTTGGGAAGAGGAGATGCGATTGTTCGAGCCTTGTGGCTCGTTTTTTTATTGTTATTGATTGTCAACAACTATAAAAACGAGCTACAAGGTTCGAATAATCATATCTCGTCGTCGCAAATTGTCCTTATTTGTCGACAATCTCAGCGTTTAACGTTAAATGTATAGAGTAATGTCTCCCTTACTGACGCTCAGATTGTCTACTAAAATGGATAATTTGGGAAGAGGAGATACGATTATTCGAGCCTCGCGGCTCTCGTTTTTATAATTATGGACAATTTATAACTATACAAATAAACCGCAAGGCTCGAATAATCGTGTCTCCTCGTCCCAAATTGTCCACTATTGCGGACAATTTAAGCGTCAGTTAGGGAGACATTACTCTATACATTTAACGTTAAACGTTAAACGCTGAGATTGTCGACAAATAAGGACAATTTGGGAAGACGAGATATGATTATTCGAACCTTGTAGCTCGTTTTTATAGTTGTTGACAATCGATATCCATAAAAAACGAGCCACAAGGCTCGAACAATCGTATCTCCTCTTCCCAAATTGTCCACTATTGTGGACAATTTAAGCGTCAGTTAAGGAGACATTACTGTACGTATAATTCTCACGCTGATAATTTGTCACAGCCTGAAGATGTTCAAAGATATTTCAACGTTTAAATACAATAACGTGCAGCTAATCGCCGTCTCGATTGTAGCGTGATCGCCGGAACGTCCTTTACGCTAATGCAAAGATCGTGTCCTGCTAAGCGGGGAACATGTTCCGCGATTCCGCGTATTCTGGTCACGGTTGAGAGAGCCGGCCCGAGGAGATAACGGACCGCGACTTAAAATTTGGACAACGTTGTTGACGGATCGGTGGCGCGTCTTGTTTGCGAGAGGAATCGATAAAAAATCGGTGACATCATGCATCGACACACAGACTTCGTCGCGCGCGTCGACGTTTGAAAGTCGAAAGATCGTAGTTCGAGGAACGGAGGCGCAGGGAAGACCGTGACGCGAAACGGTAAAAAATGCGTCGGAAAAAGCGCGCGGAAACCGGCTATAAAAGACGGCGAAAGACAGTTCTTGTTCGGTAAAAACGCGCCGCGGACCTGGTAAAAAATTGAAGGTGCGCGAGCGACGGACGATGCTCGTCTTTTCAAACGCGTATAAAATAATGACGACCGTTCGGCGTATTCTGGCACCGAGTGCCACGCCTTTCCCACACCACTTTCTTTTATCTACGCGAGGACTAAAAACTGGGGCAGGATATGCACCGGAGGAGCTTCGGAAATTATTGTGTCGGGTTCGTTCTTTCAAATTTCTCCGCGAGATAGATACAATTGCCGGCTCTTTGAAATCGGAGCAAGGTTGCATCTCGCGTGCCAAGAACATTTCTTTCAATCGGGAACACCTTCCCGCCGTTTTAACCACGAGAAAAATGTTTTTTAATACGGTGCCAGTATTGTACCATTTTCTCGTTGCAACGATCGTATTGAGATGAATGTCGTGCTCGGATTACTTTATCGCTACGTTAATAACGAAACTCGAAGGAACGTTGCACGAAGTGTTTCGCGAGTAAATCGCCTATGAATAAAGCGCGCAAGTATGCTGGTTCGCATACTTTCCGTCTGTCAAGTGAAGGGGGCAAACAGACCCTGCTTTGTGATAAGAAAAACCAACCCGAGTTCAACCACGTTTCGTTTCCAAGCGGCACGTATTTACTTTTCCACGGTGCTTTAACAACTGAAGTACAATGGAACCATCCATAAACCCTAACGGTATTTCGATTTTTATACCTGAGAACACATTCGTGGTTGCTTAAACATTCTACGGAGGACAATTAAACATGAAAGAACCAGTTGAAAATACAAGATAATGACATTTTGTCATTCGAGGCTTTCTTTGTCGAGCAAGATCCGTCGATTAGACGGATTACTTGCGCAGGTACGCACAAGTCAATGGGTCATTTAAAATTCAAATAGCTCTTTCATAATCAGCTATTTTTAATGTTATTCTCTCGCTTCGTTAGAATTGCTTCTTGAAAATTAATTACGTCAACGAGTGAGAATAATAGAATTTCATCGAGAACATGAACGATCAATGTGTTAACTCAATGAACTTGCAATTTTTGGTTCAGACAACTATAAACAGAATTTTGAAACACGTGATAGATCGCAAACGGTTCCCTGCTTGCTCGAACGGTGGTTATCTAACCCTAAAATGATTATTTTTACTTGTTGCCCAATCGTGAATTTCTCCACAATTCATTCCCAAGAAATAATAAATAAATAATAAAGTTATTCAAATTTTAAATAGCCTGGCGACTTTCGCGCCACCCTATATATAGATGCTTGATCGACTTTCTCAAGTTTCCAATGGATAATCATCCTGTAGAATTTGACTTGCAACTTCGTACCTGAATTTCGCGTTCAAAAAGTACCTACAGCCATGAATCACAATTGGTTTAACGATTTCAAAAACACTTCGATGTTTGAGATCAATTTGAAGCGTAAGAAGACATTGGGTTGGCAACTAAGTAATTGCCGATTTCAGTTATAGATATCTCTCACTCCCATTTTTATGATATCCGTAAATGTTATATTATAAAATTATTATTATTATTATTATTATTATTATGTGATTTTTTATTATCCGCACAGTGCGGATAATAATCGAGAACTTGTTGTTCAATTTTGAACTGATCGTTTGACGATGTTTATAGATGTCTCTCACTCCCACATTTTTATGATATCCGTAAATATAATATTATAAAATTATTATTATTATTATTATTATTATTGTTATGTTATTTTTTATTATCCGCGAATGTTAGCAACTGGACAAATTGAATGCAGCGGTCAAGGAAAAGCGACCAGAATTGGTCGATCGTAAAGGTGTCATTTTCCACCAGGACAATGCTAGACCGCATTGACTTAGCTATTTCTTTTCAACCAAAATACAATTTTAATCCCCTGCTATCAAAATTTTCTTTCTCTTTTATATAATATTGCATTCTCTTGTAGCTAATATTTAATCATTTTGTTTCAGCCGAAATAAAATTCTGTTAGCTTGCTATTAATATTTAATGATTTCTTTTCAAATTCGTTTGATACTATTAATACTTAATTATTCCTTTTTAACCGAAATAATACAATTTTATTCACCTGCTACTAATATTTAATCATTCCATTTTTATGATATCCGTAAATGTTATATTATAAAATTATTATTATTATT